AGGATTCATCCAGGGTAAAGATTATGGACAATTTGGACTTCAAAGATTAGGTACTCAGCAAATTCTAAGTTTTTGCCAGTTCATTTTTCCATACTCTGTTTTATTATTTCCAGTAGTATAAGGGTATCTGCAGGATGTTATCAGTACTGACATTTTCTAGAATGTTGAGATATTCATATCTTTAAAATCTCATTTAAGTAGTACTTAATAAGAGTGTTTTGTCAGAAGTTGCAGGGAGTTACAGAGGCCTTGCAATGTACTGCTTAGTATATCTATACATTTGTAATGTTTTAAGCAGTATTTTTTCCGTAAGAATGTGTAAAATGCATTTAGTTTCACATCTTAATAACTATTTAGAAAGCCCATGTTAGAGAACGTTCTGCTAATCTGATCTCTTGTTCATGGTCCTGAAATAACATTTCACCTAAACATTTGCTAGAAGTGTGAAACTGATAAATATTTGCAAGTAAATCTTCATGTTACTCTTAAGAAGAAAATCATACTTGATAAGCATTTATTTCCTAAAAAATTGACTTCTTGGTTCCATACATTCAGTTCTACACCAAACTAATAATATTTATGTATCCTTTCTTGGAGAAAGGTAACAGAGCTCTGGTAACAATATTCTGTTGTGCTTTTTAAGAAAAATAATTTCTTAAGAACTGTGATATTTCTCCTTTGACAAGAATTTCAATTTAGTTAATACTGAATTCTTGAATTATAAAATACTACTGAGACTGTCTTAGAAGAGGAATTACTTTTCACTAACATAATAGCTTCTTAGATAGAAGGCTTATCTTCAGATAAAATTCCTATATGTGGATGCAAAAGTAGCTTCTTTCAGCCACAAAGTATTGTCCACTCTTATTTTTTCAGTAAAATTAGGTAATTCTTTAATTTTTGAATGTACTGGAAGGGGATTTATTAATGGATGTATGAGGTAAAGGTAATTTTTTCTTTTTTCAAAGTTCCAAATGATAATAAAATGCCCTGCTTAGGATCTGGTTTTCAACTGTATTTGCATCTGCAAACTCTTTAAAAAGAATTTTTAGAGATAGCTTTATCAAGAAATATTTCCTTTAAATGAATATAAAAAGAGTTATTTCCCTTAGTTAACTTCTTCAAAATATTTGACTATCTGACAAAAATTAAAAATTAAAATTTCATAATCCTGCCTTGCCAAAGTATTTTGATAGATTCTTATGAAAATTACGTTTCTTAAATTGATTTTCATAGGGATTTTTTTTTTGGTAGTTGTGAGATTGTTTTCTGTAATATATTGAAGGTCTTTTTTATTGGTTTATATCTTCTAGGAACAGAATGATTCACTCAGGTTTAAGTTCTATACAAGAATTAATTGCAGTTGATATAGTCAATAATACAGTTACGGAGAGATTTACAATGATTGAACAGATTCTGTGTAACATGTTTACCACTTCATTATTTCATGCACAAACACACAAAATATATTATCTGAAACAAAATATTTTGATTGCTGTTTCCATACAATTTTCCTCACAATAGTTTATTTTTGTGAACACTTAATTTATTTTTCAGTATTTTAATATATTGATTATCTGTTTGTTTCTTTTTGTTTGTTTGTTTTTATTTCTATATATTGCCTTGCAAGATCAGGAAAGCTGGAAAACATTACAAGTTATGCAATTCTTAAAAGGTCCAATTCAAAGCTTAAAAAACAACTTTGAAGCTGCATTGGAATTCCTTTCCTCACATTAAAAAGATATATCTGATCTGTATGGATAATCTAAATAATGTGTCCCTCAACCATGCAGCAGATAATATTCTTATTTTTCATCAATATCTGGCTTTAGCCCTTCCCAATTGTTCCTGCCTCCTTCACTCTATGCATCAATAGCAGCACCTAATGAAATCAACATGATGAATTTTCAGTTTAGCTCTTCAGGTGACTTACCCTTACTTTGAAATCGTGTTTGCTTTTTATACATGCAGTATTTATTAATTTCTGAAACACGCAAATATAATCAGACGTATAATCATATAACATATGTGTTATTATAAATCTGACTTTTTGTAACACAGTACATCAATATGTATTAATATCATCCAAAACTTGAATCCCATACAGAATTATGCAGTACAATATTTACTGTACCAGAGTATATGTATTGTTTTCTCTACATTTTGCATCCCCTTATTAATCAGAATATTGTATAGTACACCACATTTATTTTCCAGGTGGCCTCAGCATAGAGCTTTAGGTATAAAGCTGAACATATTACGATGACTCAATCACAAGGTGTTACTGAATTCTGAAGTTTATAAAGTAGTATGCCATGGATAACAGACACATATATT